TCCGTAAATTGGTTGAACGTTGGGAGTGGATTGCCGAACATGATGGCGAATACATAATTGATTAATAAAAGCGCTTTCTTCAAAAAATTTCAATTTTAGTTTACACTTGAAATCGGGCACGAACTTCTGCACTCATCATATTATTACAATATTTTTTTTTGCAACTTGAAGAGAACTTTTTTTTGAAAACGATTATTTTTTTTCAAACTTCGAGAAGTTTTGAAAGTCTCGAACTGCTTCGGTATTTGTTGAGCTCATAAAAAAGAGGCAAAATTATAGAACTTAAAAAGAAATTGGTTTAACTGTTTCAGATGCAGCAGCCTACCTCCTTCACCGGCACCGTTTCTCAAGTTCAAACTGCTTCAGAAAACTCATCACAACACTTGAAAATTCCAACATTTTTTCATACTAAAAATTGCTTTTTGAAGCTTAAATATAGTACATTATTGCCTGAAAAGTTCTTTTACCGCAATAATTTTTTTCCTTTCGAAAAAATTGTTGGGAAAATGCTCTTCTCGGGTTCTTAAATAAATATTATATTTATATATATAATATAAGAAATCGCCACGTAAGTAAAAAAAAAACCTTAAAGGAGATTTACGTGTGAGAATTAGTGATTTAGTAATTTAGAAGATTTTGACTGGAGGAAATATAAGAAGCGGAATGACGTTTAGGGTATAACAACAATAACGCTTTAAATGCAAAAATCTACAATATACTAATTTATATATGTATGTATGTGTTTTGTTATAAAGTTTTGTGAATGATATACATATGTATGTTTCCATGGCAACTACAAATATGTGCGTTAAGAAGTAGATAAATAAGGCGTTAAATACGTCTAAAAAGGAAGCTAACTACGGAGAAATGAGTGAACTAAAACTAAAATAAATTAAAATTAAAAAATAATTTTTTTGCATAGAAACAAAATTAGCATTCCCAAAATACCACTAAATAAGCTAAGTTAAGTTAAGTTATTTTAACGCCCACCAGCAGCCGCAAAAGTACTTGTAAATCATGACGCGTTGGTTAGTATGCGTAGATCAAACATTACTACGTCGTTTTGTCAGTTTTATGTAGTTCATTTTATTTTTTCTAATATTTCTTTTTTTATTTATTTTTTGCCAAATGTTGATCTTTACCTTGAATTTGTTCTGATTTTGTATTATATGATTTCATTTATATACCTATGAATGCATATTAATAATGTATGTAGAGGGATCTTAAGGATATACTTAAAATGCTGAAAATAATGTGATAACGATTGCAAAATTTTAATTTAATTTCACAAGCAATTCTAATTTTCTTTCATATGCTTTCAAGCTCTTAGTCACAGCACTTAGCGATATTGTGTAAATTCTCTGCTATGATAAATGTTAGCTTCACAAGATTAATTTTTTTGTTTGCATTTTGCATTTCTGGCAGACAAAAATAATTTATTTTTATTGCTACCTCTTCTAAGGACCTTCAGAAGATTGTAAATTAAAAGATTTCTGATACTCTTTAACACTAAAATTTCAAATCCAGAGAAGTACTAACTTCAGCAGTCGCAAATCAACCGCTGTAAAAGCCTCAGACATACCAGAAAGTCTTTTAAAAATATTTGTAAATTGGCTTACAAGCTAACGCATCAAAGGAAACGAGCAAGCAGGTGAAGTAAAATACCTCTTGGCATGCCCTGGGATAAGCAACTGACCTTGAAGAGCCATATGTCTGCTGAGAGACAGAAACTCAAACTTAAAATCGCCAGACACAAATGGTTATTGGGTAAAAAGTCAGCTCTAGGTTTGGATCACAAAATTCTTACATATAAGTCATAAACACTCTGAAGGGTCTTTCTTCTAGACAGGTGCTTTACAAGAATCAATTGATGTTAATGCCGAGAATTTAGCTTTATTATAGAGATAAGAGTCTGCTATTACGTTTTAAAAATGATTTCGGACCAGTGAATAAATTCCAGTCGAGATGACCAATTTTCGACTACTTTTTTGCCGCCTCGTTATATGTGTAGACAGTTGACGTCACATGACGAGCATGTAAGAGTATGTTTTACTGCAGCAATTCTCAAAGATGCGCTCTGCCCTTAGATCACAATAAATGGAATTTCAACGCTGAATAAAATTTTCTTGTGAAAATCGGAATCGGTTCCTTTATGTCTACTCATCTTCAGGCCATAATATAATTATAAATTTATCAAACTGGTATTAATCCGATTTTATGAAAATCTCGTCTATTACAGTGTTTGATTTCATATTTGTAAGTTTTCATATTTGTTTGGAAAAATGTTATAAATGATATTGAAAAAAAAAAAATCTGATCTTAAAAAAAAATATTGTATGTATGTATGTACGGCGCTTTGTAACCGCTGAAGCAATTTTGGGCGGAGCTGCTCCTCTTCCAATTTATGGTTTGATGTTTCTTCCAACAATTGGAGGGATCTACAATTTATACTAAGCCGCCTCCGAACGGCTAATGATTTTGTATATGAATATTATGAAGTTATAATTTTGATCGTAAACATATTTTGAAGGATATGAAATTTTATTTTTTGAAATAATGTCTTTGGGGTGCTGAAGCAAGGAATCCGCCACTAAAACTTAATGAAAATGAAAATTTTCAGCAACCATCGAAAGACAACGACCATGGTAAGCGGACAATTGGGCAACGGAAGAAGGCGTGCACCTGACATGTTCAATTCCTCAACTGTATGATCTGATTGTTAATATCCAAGTTTAACACACGAGTTGGACAACGGAGATACAGAAGAAAATATGTCCCTTGTAACCTGTGAAACGATTTGCTGTTGGATTTTTATGAGTAGTTTTCATTTCATGTCAGGGAATGTCAACCCCTGCTGAAGGCGATCTTAATTAGAAAAATTAATTTGAAACTGATTTTCCCTGATTTTGAATGCCGTTCTGACCAACCTTGACCTTTCGCATGTTAGAACGTACTGCTAACAATCGTCTACTGAGGTAGCGGCCAAATAAAAAAAGAGTAAATTTGGAGTTGGATTTGTACAAGTTGATGTGGTAACGAAAGAGGACAAGACGAAATATCTCCTGTCGTCAAAAAAATAGTCGGTGCGTTTACGGTTTGGCTCCCACGTCACTGTTGGCAGGTCGAGGTCGTAGATATTTTCTTTTCTCCAAGGAACAGCATTAATAACAATAGTAATGTCCACAAACCGAAAATAAAACTCTACAAGTCACTCCTTATTCCCGTCTCACTATATGGCGCAGAAGCCTGGAGTCTTCGAGAGGAAAGTTTTGCGATTGATTTTTGGTTTTTTGCATATTGGCAACGGCGAATATCGCAGGCGATTCAACGATGAGCTGTATAAGTTATACAATGTCATTGATATCTCAGCGAATGAAGAGACAGCGGCTACAGGTTATGTCGTCCGAATGAATGAAAGCGCGCCAACTTTGAAAATATTCGATGCAGTACCCGCTGGTGGACGAAGAGGAAGGGAAAGACCTTCACTCTGTTGAAATTAGCAGGTGGAGACCGAACTGGTTTCATTTGGCATTACCAACCAGCAACGGAACGAATGCCGCGCTATTGTTGATACGGCTACAACGGCATAAGCGGTAGCCAAGCCAATGAAAAGGAGGAGGCAAGGTAAAGTAATCCCTGAAATGAACAAAGACCAAATTCTATAAGTAACTCATCATTCCCGTTCAACTTTACAGTGCAGAAGCGTGAACGTTGATAACACTCGATGAGTTAACGAATGATTTGTGACTTTGCTTATTATTGAACTGGAAATAACGTAGATGATAGAATTATTAGTGGAATGAGAATGGAATACTGGACTGCTTTGAAAGTTTCCCTAAAGAAGGCTTAGTTGATAAGGAGAATCAGGCTACAATTCTATGCTGTCAATGCAGTGAGAAAACAACAGATCTGTAGATTTGACACTACTTATAGCGCGTGGAATACCTACACCGATTAAAAAGACGGTATGACTACGAGGCAAAGTTTAACTGCCATAAATAATTTTCATTCAATGACGTGAATGTGTTTTGAAACATAATGAGTACTAAGACTAGGATTGAATGTATCACAACTATGTATATATGTACAAACATATATTGGTTTCGTACTTACATACTTATGGATAAGCCACAATTTAAAGAAGCGAAAGCTCGTGTTAAGCGTGCTAAGCGTGCACCTAAATTTTTTTTTACAGATTTTCGTGGTTATACATATGTACATACATATGCAAGCATATATAGTCATATTTTTTTAAATTATTATTATTTATTTTTTAAATTTGTTTGAGTATCACGAACGATCTTGAGTACAGTAAAAAGAAACAAATTCAAATTTCTACTCGATTTGGGGGATTTCATGGATTTGGTGGAAAAAAAATTTCAAAAATACATTATTATTAATACAAGTTAATTTATTAATTATAATTATTATTTTAATTTTTAATTTATGTGCAATTATTTAAAATGTGATTTAAGCATACATTTATATGTACAAAGGTTTATGCCAGTAAATATTTATATGAATGCTTGTGGTGGTGATGGAACTTAAAGAAAAAATGTGTGCAGATTCGTAAAAGGAGCTGATGAAAATTTTGAGTTCAAAACTGTAACGTTTTTTGTTGTTTTTTTTTTTTGTTTGTTTTTAGTATGAGGAGAGGGGAGGATATACAGCAGTGTTTGTACACAACAAGATTACCGTTAAATAGTTAGGATTATTTGCAAACAAAGTCATAAAAATCATGTGAGTTATAAACCAATTAAGTATATAATATGCATATAAGGGTAAACTCATATATATATATATACAAATATATATATTGTATTTTTGGGAAAGTAACAGACAAAGGCAGACAAAGAGATATATAGACACATAGAGAGAGAGAGAGAGATATAGAGAGAGAGAGAGAGGGGAGAGAGTGAGAGAGAGTGTGCGATGAAAACAGGTAGATAGGAGTACAACGCTTGAAGTGAATTGCAGTGGAGTAATTTGCATTTTGTACTTAAAAAGGGTTTCTCAAATATTTTTGTATAACTAATTTTTGTTTTCATATTTTTGCTTGCATATTTGTTATTTTTTGTTTTGTTTTGGTTTTGGTTTTGGTATTTCGTTATTTTTTTTTTTTTTTTTTTTTTTTTTGGTTTTAGTTGCAAATCAAACTCAATTTAGCCTATCTTACGTCGGGGAGGCGGTCGTAAGAGATCGTCAAGTGAAAATGTACGCGCTGCTGCCCCTCCCCCTCCAGGTATTGGATTGGGGCTGCTGAGGCTCAAAAGTGACGGTTTTCTGATACCCAATCTGTTGAATATGGAACGCTGTGTGCCCGGTGCGATATTGCCGGTTGACTGTGGTATGGCAGTTGTAAATTGCAATTGCTCGCGTAATGATGTGTGATGATGATGTCCATGTATGGAACCGGGTGCTATATTCATTTATGAAGAAAAGAAGATAAAAATATAAAAGATACATATACATATACGAACAAACATTCAAATAGAAGAGAAGAAAAAACAGAGAGAAGAAAAAGATAAATACAAATATAGAGTGTGTGAGAGCAAGAGAATAATGAAAGGTAGAAGAAAAATTTGTTGCACAAGATTTTCAGAATGAGCGCAAACAATTGTATACAGATCCAAAGAGGTGGCTTCAGACAAAACTTTAATTTGTTTTTTTGTTTTTTTTGCTTGCAATTACATGACTTACATATCTAATTATGGATAATTATGACAATTAAATATATATGTATATATATAGATATATATGTAATATCTGTGTGCACAAGTCATAAACGCTCAAATCGGTATTAAAAATCAATAAAATTTACATACACATACATATTATATATATACAATGCAAAAACGAATTTAAAATTCAATTTGGAACCGAATCGAGTTAGTCGTTTATGAATTGGCAAATATATGAATACAATTATACAAAATAAATTTTGAATTTGAATTTGACTTTGAATTCGAATTTTAGTTTTCATTTTAATTTTAATTTGTTATAATTATAGTTATAAATTCAATTTTAATTTTAGTTTTAGTTTATATTTTTAGTTTTAATTTTAAATTTATGAGGTTCCCTCTCTAAGCAAAAGTATATACCAATAAGGCTAATATAATTCCCTTCCCTTCTAAAGATACTGAAACAGATTTTAGGAACCTACATGAAGGATAAACTATTGATGGTTAAAAAATCATAAGCGCTACACGCCTACACGCCAAGGCCCTAGCTACTTTGTGGACATGCGTGGAAGCCCTGGTATAACATGTAACTCTACTGAACTACAAGAAGATTAACATGAAATTAAACGAAGCCCCACTACTTAGGCTTACACGTTTCACTCGTATCAAATTAGCTTTTGAAAAAATTGAAAGAAAGTCCCTGAGCTAATTGACAATGCTGCCGACGTAGTTTTACCAGTGACGAACATGTTCTTAAACACTATTAATAATGTGATGGAGATTACTCAAAGAAACTTAAACCTATGAGCAACATCGAATATCTCAAAGGTATATACCGATGGAATGAATGCGGTATTTTTTAAAAGATGGTACAGGATCCTTATGGAGAAACCCTTAAAGCACAACGGGGTTCATCTCATGTGTTCAGCACAATGTGTAGGAGAGGGTAGATATGGTAGAAACTTCCAGAAATAGGGAGGTTTTCTGCTAGATCCCTCAGACGTAGCTCGATTGTTAAGGGAATGATGGAGGACAAAATAGATGAAACAATCCCATGAAAGATGAAAAGAGAAATTGGCGCAGCAATATGTAGCTCTCCGGAAAAATTCGTAACAGAGAAGGATCAAAAACGGCTGATGATGTGGGTGCCAGAAAACCCAGTAACCCCTAAAGCTTCCTGAGAACTGCAATATTTTATAGACTGAGATCAGGCCAGGCAAAGTTGCTGATTTGTGTTTACAAGGTGTGACAATTAAGTAATGAGACTGTTTTTTTTTTTTTTGCCGCGATTGTGGTAACCCTGCGATCTTGAAATTCCCTTTATCTTCTCCTAGCATCCTTCTCCTCTCCATTGATATACATATTTGCCATCGCTCTAGCTTGTTTAGTTCGCCGGCTGTGTCATATTGAGTAAACGTGTGTTCGTGGTGCTCGTCACGAAAGAGGAAAAAAGAAACCAAGAGCAACGTGTTGCCATAAAATTTTGCGCCAAATCGGGCGAAACAGTAGCATGATGATAGTACTCTTACCAAACGCCAAAGCTCACAATGGTTGTATACGCACGCCTCCCGCCCGATAAAAGCTTGCATGAACAAGTCGTAGGTGAAAACGATGATTATTGCCTTTTTTGATAGTCGTGGAATCGTTCACGAAGAATTCCTTCCACCGCGCAAATCACAAATCAAGTCTACTATAGCCAAGTACTCGAAAGATTGTGAAAGCAAGTCAACAGAGTGCGGTCAGACAACGCGCCGTGTACACCGCCCTCAGCGTGTCCGAGAATTTAGCCTGCAACCACCTTATTCGCCCGATATGACTTTTTTGTTTTGTTTTTGGACTTCTTATATCATACATATTATTATTATTTATTTTATTTCATTTAACTTCACCTTATATTTTTTTGTTTCATCTTTTATTTTCTATTTAATTTTTTCGTATTTTCCTTTATTTTAGTTAAAATAGTTTATTCATTTTATTAAATTTCACTCAATTTTACGGTTAATTTCATTTTATTTAATTTAAATTTACTTTATTTAATTTTATTTGCCAAGGTTTTTTTACTCCTTTTATTGAGTTTTATCATATTTTCTTTTTTTTAATTTTGCTTATTTTGTTATTATAATTATATTATTTTATATAATATTTTATTTTATTTTATGTGCTTTTGTTTTATTTTTGTCGCCTTTACTTGCTATATTCAATCAATTCATTTTATTTTAATATATTTGTTATTTTTACTTATTTTATTGTAAAATATTATATTTTATTTTATTATATTTTTATATAATTGATTATATTTTATATATAATTATTCTATTGTATTTTAATAGTTTTTCTTTATTTTTATTAAATTAATTAATTTTATTTTATTTTATTATTCTAAATTTAATTTACTTTTATTTAACTTTGTTTTAATTTATTTGCCTTTATTAGTTTTAGTATTTAGTCTATTTATTTTGTTATATTTATTTTAATCAGATTTAATTTAATTTAATTTATAATATATCACAATATTTTATGTTATAAAAATTTATTCAACTTTATTATATTTTGTTTTAATTTAATTTATTATTTTATTTATACTAGTGCATTTTAGTTTATTTACTTTTTATTTTATTTTCATCTTTTTCTTTATTTTTTATTTGGTTGTATTTTATTTGGTTGTATTTTAAACTAATTTTAATTTTTTTCTCATTTCATTTGAAATTATTATATTTAATTTATTTTTATGCGAATCTAGCAATACTTGAGCGTAGGAAAAATTTACCGTGTTGTTTGTGTAATAATACTAAAACATACTTAAATACTTAATACACAAATAAACATGTAGATAATATAATCTAGCCAGTTGCTTCAATATTTATGTTTCTAAAATGGAGTATGTTACATATATACATACGGTATCTAATTCATACATCTTTTCCATGTAATGTCGTATATACAGATAATATTCATCTATACTTATTAGATAGTGTTAATATACATTAGGCTACATATATATATATATATATAGATGTATATCCTAGCGCTTAGACTCATAAATAAATATACGAAAATTTGTATGTAACTCTATCAATATATATATGTTAAATACTTACGTCTATTACGATCGGCTTCTTCGGCTAATAATTTTTCGATTTTCTCCGGAAAATGGCGCTTAGCACACCAAACCAAACCGATGACAGCTAACACAACAAAAACCGTTATTAAACCCAACCAAAACGGCTCTTGAAGCATACGCTCCGATAATGGTTTATAGGGTATATGAAGCATGCGACGCTCACAGCGTGGACCCTCCCACCAAGCATGGCAACTGTAGAAGACAGCGAAGAGGATTCATTAGGAAAAATAATAAATATTTAAGCCAGCTTCAAAAAAAAATATATTTTTTAATGGAATAAAAATAAAAAAAATGTTTAAATATTCACAACTTTTATATCAAAATAATCTCACCGACAAAAGTAACCGCCATTTCGTTCGAAACAAGCACCACGTCCTTCGCAAGGATTCTCAGCACAAGGCCTCTGCTTAACCTCACATGTTGGACCCATATATCCCGGCTGGCATTGACACTACGTTTTATATATAAAGAAATATACAAATAAATTTTGTGTGACTTTGTAAACTTTTAAAAAAATATTTACCTTAAAGCTGTTGGTTGTTAGCTCACATCTGCCAAATACGCACGGCTCCAACTCACATATAGTTAAAGCACAAAATCTACGGAGAGTTATTATTATTATTAAAAGATGAAAATACTATTAAAAGAATATTATAGCCTACCTGCCCGTATAGTGACCCTGACACTGGCAATAACTCGAGCCATTATTGAGTACACATTTGCCATTGAACTGACAGGGGTTCGGCTGACACGATTCGACGGTCTTCTCGCCAGCAGTCAATTTCATTTTGTATGTGTTATCTGTGTACGAAATTATAATGTAATTATTTTTTAAATTATTTTCAATAATAAATTTTTATTTGAATTTCAATTGCTATAATTCATAAATCCACTCACCCCATTGTATGCTCACCGTCCCATTGAGCAGCGCATTCGCCTGCTGGCCCGTGCGTTGGCGTATATGTAACGTATTCAAATATGAGGTTATGTACACCGGCGGCGCTGTAGTCTCAGTTGTTCTCATTTGCAACCAATTGTTTGGCGTGGCATGGAAGATTTCATTATATGGCGAATTTGATCTTTCCGATGGATAATTTGGTGATGCAGTATGTGGTAACATTGTGGGCGGTTGAAATTTGCAGAGTTGCCACTTTGTGCCGTTGTTATCGGCGTAATTGTCATACACCTGAGATTAGTGGAATGTTATATGATAAGGATTTGAAAATACTAATTTTTAAGATTATATATTTTTGGTAATTCGTAGTCATGCTTTCAGCGTAGGCAGTTAGAATTCCTATTACTACATCCTCGTTGCACACCCTGCAAACGTGAGGAAACCTTATGCGAGATGTGATAACGAACTGGGGTGGGTCAAGCCTTGAAAGAAAGGAAGCTTCAGTGGAGCCACTCCGACATATTAAGGGTCACTTGAGTGTACCTGCCGCATCTGTTCGCCAGAGATGTAAGACAAGCGGCTAGATATGTAATTGTGTCATAAATCTTAACCACCATATTAGCCAGTAGGTTAGCTCTACATACTACCAGGATGTTCGCGGGTTTAGTTCCTATCCATAGCAACATTCAAAATTATAATTTTTTTTTTTAATGTAGTAGTTTCTCGTTTGGAAATATCAACACCCTTCAGGTGTATTTCTGAAATAAAATAAGATCTCCTCATAAAATTTATCAGTCGTTCGTTCTGGGCTTAGAATAAGTTGTAAATCCGTCCATTTGTTGGAAAAATAGCATAAGCCGCTAGTTTGTGCGTTGAGCTGGGATCTGTCACGTAGAAACCGGTTCCAATGTAAAATTTCAGCAAACTTCAGGGTCGTTACCCGGAATCTCCGGTACCTTCATTATGAGGGTGCCGTTGTCTAGCTGGTTAATATCACCGTCGTGCAAGAAATGTGACGGAATCAAATATGTGCTTGTGATATGTACGAGTACAAATTTGGTGTTGTGGTGGGAAAGAGATTGAGTCGCCGAGTACAGGCATTCATAGTCATCAAAGCGAAATTCTTTAACTTATCGCTGACTTACTCTCACGCTGCGATAGAAGGGAAGTACGCCTAGATGGGCAAAGAGAAAATCTGCGTAAAAAGAGTCGGAAAGCTAGCATCGATGACGAAACATCTCCGAATGGTTTGTAGCTGATCGACTTCATCGGGACCTTGGCTATGCTTGTTTTTAGTATTAGATTCCAGCACAAGGAAATTTATCAAGCTATGGAATGAAGGTCTTCCTCCATCTCAGCGGGTACTCCATCGATCAGTTCAAAGCTGGAATGTACTTGAAAATCTAGTCTGGCCTATTTAATACAGCTCATTGCTTCACTTAGGTGTTCCCCCAACTACCCCATATTTTCAAATTTATCTAACAAGATGTTCAGGTAATTTACTGTTTCGACAAATTCGGACCAAAATAAGAGGAGTTTTAGAAGAGTTGGTTTAAACCGGCGAGCAGAGAAATAGCTAGTGTCGCACTTTGCATAAGACCAAACTAGAAATAGACGCTTATCAGATTGTTCGCTGCCTTAGATGCTGACATTTTAATATTTACCTCTAAAAAACTGCCGTCCGGACAACTACCATTCTCGCTGAACTCCACGTTATGCAGTTCCAACAGAATATTCTGACCAAACGGCGCAATCAAGTGATGAGTAAAATCCACATTCTCGGGCATTGCATGTGGGTAATTGAGTTGATATAGATAACCGCTTGAGTTCAGTTGTAAGGAGATGACGCGTTCCCGACGCTCCAGCGGTGCCACTGCAGGGGAGAAAACATTGCAAAAAATATAAAAAATATGAGCTCAATATTTTCAACATCCTTTCCCCCCCCCTCCCACTCACCTGTGCGATATATGGCATGGAATCCTTTGCCCCGCGGATGTTGTCCAGTGCGAAACTGTATGCGCAACTGTTCACGCTCGCTTACGAATATGCCCTCACTCAACAGCTCTTTAGAGTGAAATGGCCGCAACAGGCCACTGCCAATGTCAACCTCCAAAATCGCATCCACTTTCAAATCGAACTCGTTAAACTCCAACCAGACGCGCCGTCCAACTGGCGCTTGTATCACGTATGCGCAATTTAAGTTGTTAAGTAAAAAATTTGGATAATTCGGACTGAAGACAGTGCCTTCGCGCGAGGTAAGCGTCTGCAGTGGACAACCCGAAACATCGATTGCCCGCCAAGTGGCTGCAAAACCGATGCCATTAACCGAATAATCACTATGAAAATTCAACATTGCCTCATTTGAACTGGAGACAAAATCGAATTTGGACATATTCGAAGTGTGTGAGCCACACCAGCGTACATATGGCAGGAATGATTGTGCATTATCTACAGGTAGTGGTGCCATTAGTGGATCACCCTCTTCTAAAACACTATTACGTTTGCGTCGCGCCAATTTCGTTTTCGTTTTTCGCCGACGATGTTTGGGATTTTGATGTTTCATCGTTCGTCCACTTGCTGTGGCGAACCAGTTGTTACTATTGCGCGTCGCTGACGGCGGCCACAACTCTCCGCTAAAACGTTGTTGTCTATCATTGTGCGTTCTTTTGCTACTCTCATAATTCTGCTTAGCAGTTCGCTTCGTGCGTTTTGTATATGCATTTTTGGCAGTGTTGGTGGTATGGTGAATCCACCGTTTCTGTGTTGTGTGCTGCAGATCATGTCTTATGCTACGTTTTGGTCTGTACTTTGACTCGAATTCTCCAGGACTAATTTCATTATCCATTGAGGTGAGCTCTTCTTGAGATGTTAACATTGCCATTGGTAGCGGATTACTGCCGGGCTCTAGTGTTATGTGTGAGACTAGTTCATAGTCTTGTATGCTAACGTAATCGTAGAGACACTCGTCTTGTGGCTCAAGATCAATTTTCTGAAATTGCAATATTATCCGTGTGCGTTCCGGTGTTTTGATATGTACCCAGTAGTCCATATTGAGCGGGTACGTGTTGGGATAGGCTGTTTGGAAAGTAAGAAAAAGAAACATAACTAAGATTAAGGAGATTTCTACTATCATGGAGGCAGAACTGGACTGCCGCCGATCTCAACAGGAGATGGCCAAATAGAAAAGGCAGTCTCTCACATGGGTCCTTGGTCAGGGACATTAAGGGGAAACTGTAAGGCGGATGAACATGCTACGCAAGGTACGACCAAGCATTAGTCTCAATAAAGAACGCATAGATATGCCTTTTGCCTTTTTCCACTTGCAAACTGCTTCTCAGGGAATTTACATTTGAACAGCAGCAACAAAGAGGAATGACATTACAACCTGTCGCAAATCCAGGCACGCCAGGCCGAAATGGAATAACAAGAAACCACGAGGTATGGCTTGGGGATCCCAATAGAAGATGCTGCAGAAACTGCAAGGAGAATGAAGAGGAGGAAACGGTTACCCATCTCTTATGAAACTGTCCTCCTTTAAGCAACACTAGGTTTCGGAATTTTGAGACCCTACTGTTTGATGATCAATCAAAGACAGCCGACGTCAAAGTCATGGATCTAATGAAGTTCATTGAAGATTCTACATTGATGGTTAATGAAAACTGGTTGAATTTTTGTGGCATTGCAATGGGTCTTGGGAAGATTTAAGTGAATCCGAAAGATCGGTAGCCACTACCACCTTACCTAACCTAATATTGCGATTTGGAACGTCTAGAAAAAAAATAATTTATGGAGAAGCTAAGATCTATTTAATTTTGGTGTACTATAAGACGGCCTGGGATGTCAAACCTTCCGAGTGTATTTCTTACATGAAATAAAGCTCCTAAGCCGTTCGGAGAGGGCTTAGTATAAGCTGAAGAAGGTGAGAGATAGCGAAAGAATTGACCAAAAGAACGATTAGCTAGTACCGAGAGGATAGAGAGCGAGAGGTAGTCGATCGAGGGTTGATAACAACATCTCATGCTGTTGGAATGTACCGAGAAATCATAATTTATGGAAGCACGCAATTAGCCTCTGGCTGGGGAGCTGAATTTAACATCCGCTGCTCTGAATAAAGGCCAGTCGCAACTTAGAAAGCTTAGTTAGACCAATGCTGTAGATAAGGGTGGCTTCTGCATGAATGGGTTAGGTACTACTCAAAATTTAAAGTATCAGGCGCAGTTGGGAATCTAATCTCTATCTTAAATGGATTTAAATGCGAATAAGACACGTACCAAGTCGAATGTGTGTGAACATTTAAAAACGAATTCCTAATCTGTTTCTGTGAAGGACCTCGGCAGCTCGCGAGAGAAACTAAGTGTTAACCAGGAGCTCGTCATTTATTTAGCTTTTTTCGGTTCATAAAGGATTCAGATGTAGCAAGGTCCGAACACTTTCACACTGCACCTCTTAAGGTCTGATATTTGTTTTCAGTGAATAGCGATATATGATAATCGGTTAAAGCCCCTGCGGGTTAGGGTTTCAGCCACCTGCGGGTTAGAGGTTCAAGAATTTACCCGTGTTAACGTATGCCTGTCATAAGAGGCGACTAAAATCCAATAGTTCCCGCGAGAGTCCTGTCTTTATACCGGAACGACCCGGATTTTTATCCAGCCAATGACTGTCACTCCCGCAACATTCCACAAAATTTACTTTGGGTTAGAACAACAACAACAACAACAACAACAACAACAACAACAACAACATTAGGTTATAAGATAACCTTATTGCTTACCTGGTGACACCAGCCTGCCCTCTGCACCAGTAAGGGTAACATTATTGGCGGAATATGTATCAAACTCATCTTTGGCCTTTTTACATACATAACCACCGACTTTACTGCATTTTTGTGATTGCCAATACAGACCCGAGGGAAGCATTGGCGTTGGCGACATCTTCCATTGTAGACCCAAGCAAATGGCGTCTTTGGGCAATTCTTCAAATTGACCCTGACCGGGTAGCCAACCCTAGAAGAAATATGAAATTTGCTATAAAACTCGAAATTTTCGAACGAATTGCAAAATGCTCACTTGAAAGCTCATTCTCGTATCATCCGTCCACTCAAATTGACCACTTTTCTCTAGCTCCGCACCAAGCCAATATATCAGTTGTGGCGAATAATCGATTTGATTTCGTATGTTCGATGTAATGAATCTGTTAAAACGTTTACGAATATTATAGTTTGAGAATGTGAATGAGATTTGTATTTTGTTCAATCAGCTTACCTGTGCTCATCGGCTGATGACACCGACGACAGACGCGCGCCCATGCCGCGACACACTTGCTGTGCCGTCCACCAATCCACTTCGGGATATGAAATGAAGAGATAACACGAACCGTTATAGTATTTCAAACGCTCGTTAGCGCACTCGGAAGCCGCTGGAAGTAGAGAAATGTGAAGAAGAAACGAAGAAACATGAAATTAGTTGTAATTAATTAGTAATAAAATGTGGAAATTTTAATTTTTCTATACAAAATGCTTAGTCCAAAATAAAGGTTTGACAATTTAGCTTGATTTCAGTAGGTATACACGCAAATACGTATCATAAAGCTAAGCGTGCGTATCTGTGAGCACAAGGAAGAACAATTTAAGCCATGATATATTTACTTAAGGAAAGCTTATAGTTAATGAAAATTGGAATTAAAAATAAAACATTATTTTTGTTGTATTTCAATCTTTTTTAAATGTTCTTTTAACTTAATCCGACTTGTTTTTCCTTGTGACTTTCGACACGTACATCGGAATATATGCTAAAAAAATTTAATAATTTTAGTTAGGATCAATAAAACCGTTAAAGTGCGGTTGACGGAAATAAAGTACAATGCGGCTTAAAGAGGTTTTCGTTTCAGATTGCCGGGAGAAAAAGGGTCGTACGCCTAAAAATATGCAATTGCCATTAAACAAATTTAAAAACATATATTTATGCACATATTAAAACAGTTGACATATATATTACGTAATTATTTTAAAAATTTTAGTACACTAATTGCTTATTGATTTAATCACCTTTCACCCTGCCTTTGCAATTATTAACTATTGCCATTAATAAATATAAATAAATATTACAACTAGAACACAAGAAAAAAGAACACAAAATGAAAAAACAAAATAAAATAAAAATAACTAAAATAAAATAAAGTGAAATGAAATAAAACTAAAAGACATAAAAAAAATATATAAAAAATATTAAAAATTAAAATAAAAATAGAATGTAATATTATAAAATAGATACAAAAAAAAAAATATAAAAAATGAAATAAAATATTGTTACGATTTTACTAAATCAACCTCGATTATTTTCTGAATCCTTCGGGTACGCGCTCTGGATTGTTAAATAAAAATTCTTTCGTTATAAAGAATTTATCTAATGTCCTTTATTTACTCCGTAATTCACAATTCAATTACAATGCACTTTACTATTTACAATCACTAGCATCAACTTTACTCTACTTAAATGTAATCCCCAACGCGTTTACTTTACGACTTTACTGATGTTAACGCCAACGAGTTTACTTTGTAACTAACTTGACTTGGCAGCTGAGTGTCGCCCTTATCTAGCAGTCGGCTGCTCGCAGACGAAAGTGTAGAATCATCGAGTTGTTCGCTATCGAAGGTTCTTGTTTTATCGTTTCTAGAATGTACTAGTTATTGACTTCTCTCTTTCATCTGACATTCGCCTCGCATTTTCGCAACAATATATTATAATAAATAAAATATAATGAAATAAAATATATAAAGTCTAAGGAAAAAAAAAAAAATAAAAAAAAAATATAGAAATACAATAAAATAAACTATAATAAAATAAAATGAAAAAAAAAAAAATAAAACAAGGAAGGAATGACACAATGTTTTTATTGTAATTCGGCTATAACCTTGTCCGCTGTATATACACAACTGCTAATTAAAATAAAATTGCTAAAAACAATGAAAAAAAAATTATGACTAGTAATTCCAGAGCCAAAGAAAAAAATAATAATTAAAATATTTTCTTTTTGCTGGTTTTAATTTTTCGGAAGGAATAGTTTTTTAACATTTTTACTATACTAAATTTAATTTATAATAATTTTTGCTGGTTACATTTTAGTATAATATATATGTATATGTAAGAGAATATCATAAGAATTAAACTAATTAAAAATGGAGACATTCATGCATTTATAAATTCTTTTAAAACTAAACACATAAACTAGTCTTTTTCTAAACAAAAAATCTATACAATTATAAAACATTTAAGATGTAACTACGGCCTTGGAGTGGAATTGGTGTTATGTACACATACCCTGCGGAGTGACCAAAGAATTCTCTTTTCATAAAAAAACTTTAACAAAACTTTAATGAGAAATTCAAGTAGTGATCATTTACTTTCAATGAAATTTCCTACAGGGTATGAACATGTCACAAACACCCACTCACACATGCTGCTAAAATCATGTGGCACTGCATAGACTTACCACGAAACGTATAACTTCCTAGTGGGATGTTTAATATTTTAAATTTTTTTTGTAGATTTAGTTGAAATGTGAGGCAAAAGTAAAAGTATTTTTTTTTTACAATAGAAATATATATAGAGTACACATACATACGTAACATATGTAAAAGTGACAGCAAGAAATAGGAGGAAGCATTTTTATGTTCACGGAATGAGAGGGTTGTAGGGCGGTGGTGAGGCTCATCAGCATAATCACGTGGTTTAAATGTTATTAGTCTTTAACTTATGGTCAAACAAGCAACATAATCGTTAATGAATAGTGAAATATATGTAAAAATCGACTATCAAAGGAATATCAGATACAGCCCTAATGTTTGAGATTGGTTTACGGGGACTTTTGTTCGAGAATATTTATGATGTACAAGTGCCACGGTTTATTTAATCGAAGCAGAGAATTCCTCGAAGATGACCCGAGGCCGCGCAGGAGCAACAAGGTGATCACGACAGAACTTATCAAAAAAGTCGAAAAACATTTACTCGAAGACGCTCGACTAAAATAGAAACAACTCGTAAAATTAATTGGAGTGCTGATATAAAATTTTTCAAAATCCTACACCACCATCTTGGCATGACTAAGTTCAGCGCAAGATTGGTGTCGAGCATGCCAACGAACCCGAAAAACATCATTTTGAGAAAGGGTTGAAGCAAGACGCCATGTAGAGACCCAAAAATGGGCACAACGCCTATCGATGTGTGTGCTCTGGTGTTGTTCTGATGAAACCCAATTCCCCTGCTGTTGGCCAAAGCTAGGCGCTTCTGGGCCTTTGCTTTCTTCAGACGGTTCAATAGGCTGCAGGGAAGCAGTTCCTTGTTTTTTCTTAATCCAACTAAACATACAAACAAAACTTCTGGCCGCCAATGCTGGCCGGAAGACCGTTTGTACCGGCTCACTGCTCTTTAACCACGATTGTTTTCATTGGATTTTGCTGTAAATGATCCACTATTAATCAAAAGCATGAATCGCAGCAGCGATTCGCGGATGAGAATTCGGTCCTTAAAGTTTTTTCTCTCTAACTCATGTGACCCCACACTTTAAGCTTCTTTATGTATCCAGTCTTTTTTTTTTCAAGTGATTCCAAACTGATGCTTGTGCAATGTTTAGTAGTACCTGGGCACTCAGGCTCGACGCTTTACATTATTTTATCGACATTTGCGACAATTTGACTTCCACAGCTTGGATAATATTTTACATCAAAATTACTGTAAAGAAATCGACGAAACCAAAATAGTGTATAATGAACTGTTACCGCATCAGCATCAGAAACACTATTTTCATTTTTGAAAAAATTTTTTTAGAATTTTAGAAAATATTACATTCTATCTTTGCAGGTGTTCGTCTTTAACATGCGCTCAAACACAACCGAGTTAAGTGATCCGCATTCTAATCTAATTCCACTCAACGAACGCGAGATGCGATCACTCAAGTAATCTGTAGCAAAAATAATCGATTATTTGAAAAGGAAAAATATCTTTTTCTTCTTCTTTCCACCCCCCATTTCGTGGACATGAAAACGCTCCCTCGTAAGTTGTGATTGTAGAGATGAAAGAGGGAAGATTTATGAAGCGAAATGAATGCAGTTATAGGCGGAGGAGAAGGTGAAAGTGAAAGTGAAAGTGGCGTTTTAGGCAAAGCGTATGTTGAAGAGAATTGATAAATTATGAACCTCTTCAGTGTATCAATCATAAGATCGTTTTTAAAATAGAATTTTGAAAGATATATATTTAAGATAAATATATTTAATTATATTAATAGGCACAACAAATGCAGTAACACATTATATACTTTTGCAAAATTATTATTAGTAAATACCGAAATTTAATTTTTTTTACATATTTTTCAGTAATATGGATTTTACATAATTACAATAAATACAACTACAATTATAGATAAATAATCTGTTTTACTTTAATTTTCCTTTTAATGAAATTCTCATCTCTAGAATTATTTATGACCTGTGGGAGTCTTATTCGTGCGGAACAAATTTTTTGAAAAAAAGCGTTAATGGAATGTTAGTTGGTCGGAGTAGAGTGAGTGTAGCGTCTTTCCAAATAGGAAGTAGGAGTGTCTGCCACCGCATTTCACGCCAATGAAGTCTGCTCTACACTGAGTAAGGTGATTTGTGATATGAAAAGTGTTTGAAGGAATGAGCTGAGCTGACGCTATGAAATGAAGATTAGAGACAAAGATTCTTCCAGAAGTTGATGCAAGGATTTTCAGGTTCCTGTTCGAAAACGAAACAAAGACGACGGTCCAAAAGTTTCTTAATAACAAAAGCGTTGACTTTAAACACCCATCGGTCAAAGAAATCCCTAAACTGCATGGTTGCAAGGGGCAGCGATGTAAACAGGAAAAGAGAGGCCGAAGTGCGTGAGCACAAAAAAATTGAACAGGCGACTGACAGAGGTAATGCGTGTAAATTCAATGAAATAAAAGCTGCGGTGACTTATCACAGAAGAATTCAAGTACGAAGTGTACTCATATAGAAATGCTTTAATTAATTGAATAAAATTCCTCTCCTTTTAACCATGAAATTTTATAGCAGCTGATGAACAAATCTGGAGCTGTTCAATGTAAGAGGCAAGGGTAATTGCGATCTTCCGCGATCGGTTTCAGGTTTAGGGCAGTCAAGAGTGTTACTAGTTTTCGGTGAGCGGTCTGTTGGATTTTTCAGTTGGGCGGTAGGTGGGTAACGCTGGGTTTGTCGTTAATAAAAAAAATGCCAAGTCTATACTGTACTGAGTTTATGAGGCGCCCACTTCTACAGCCTGCTGAACGGCAGTTAAAGAAAAACACTTGCGTATCGCTCAACCGAAGCACCAATTGATAAAGATGAATTTACATACATACCAACAATCGATGATAATAAAGTCTAGGCCCAAAGTGCATTTGCCCCTTTGAAGAGCAGCAAAGTTGTGGAAAGAGTTGGTTTGGCAGCGAAGAGCTGACGAGGTGCATGCATCAGCGTGTTGCCAATATTTGTTTGCACTCATTTACTGATGATTGAAGACAAGATGTGCTCTAGCCCAAAAAGAGATTCCCACATTTTGCCTCAACTGTCATGGGGTATCGAGGGTATTTCGATATCGCTTTATAAGGTCTTAGCAAACGTATTATGTGAAGGATTGAAGTCCAATATCAATTATATACTCGAATTTTATTATCAGTATTCTTGGAGACCTGGTAAATATACTAATTACCAGATACCCAGCGGGGAAAGGATCGCCACAAGCCATATCTTCGTCAGTTTAAAAAAACATTTCATATCACGAGTTTTACCTTCGCTATCAGCCTCCGTTGGGAGTTCCCGACGAAAAAGTTTTGCATAAGATTTATGACTCTTTGAGCGTTGACAATGGTTAGTACCACCATCGATGGAATGATGAGCTGCACAACATATATGGCAAATGCAGGAACAGGTTATTCTAAGCCGCCTCCCAACGGCCGATGGATTTTTATAAAGAACTTTGGTTTCATGTCAGAGGGAGTGTTGACATTCCCTGCTGAGGAGCGATCGCATTGGCATTCAGAATGGCAGTACGCAATGCTAAGCACTCGGCCGTCGTCACATTGACAAAGTTCAGTGAACTAAGAGACACTGGCTTGGTTGGGTAAGTCATGCTATGAATAAATGCACTGGAGCACTGATGTTCCAATGCTGTAACTACCCGTTTTTGGCAACAAAGAAAGAAGAGAAACTCAACTAAGCTGGAACGATCAGATAGAGAAGATATCGATCTGCAAAAGGACAAAAGAACTGGCGTACTAAATTTAACTTGGTAAGAAAGCGTAAGCAGTGCCTACGTCAATTGGTAAGAAGAAGAAGATGTTTTACCGCCGATATGGCGAAAATATTGTGTATTAATTTAAAAAGACTTAAAGCTTAAGAGCTTCGCTTAATTAGTGAGACGACTGTTTTAGTGCTCAGAACGTTTAGTTTTCAATTTTCTAATGTCATGAAGGATGTCATGGGCTCATCATATGGATTATGTACGAACACGTTTAATGACGTATGCATATCGCGTTAGTGACGTAAGCAAAATTTGCGTTTGTCTAATGCGCAATTTGTACGGTATGAAATGAATTAAGTTTAATTGAAATTCGTTTGGTAAAAATACTTACTATTCTCCATATATGTCTTCGCTTTGTAACCGCCAAAATGATGTGAGTAATCGGATACGAAATGTAAACCCAAATATGAGCCGGTAGAGACGTGTCGTAACAGCTTCAGCTTGGAACTCCAGTCCCCACATAAGCGTTTCGGCAATGCATTCGTATCAATATTACCCGCCGAATGCATACGATTCGTATGATGATTCGCTGGATAGTTCGGATTGCCGCGCGGATAATCGGGTGTTTGTATTAGATAATTCGTGTGCGGCCGATAGAGACTCGAGAAGATGTGCAGGAGTTTTTGATAATTTGTTTGCGCGAGATTGTAGTTGTTGTAATTGTTTGAATATAAATAATTGGTGTTTGTGTTGAAGCTAGTAATCAGATTCGGATTCGTATTCGGATTCGGATTCGGATTCACATTCACCATTGCATTCGCATTTAGATTAGTATTTACAGCATTCGTTTTAGCGTAATTATTATAAGTATTTGTAAAAGCGTTGGTATCAGAATTAGAACTAGATGTATATGTAGATGTAGATGTACCAGGCATAGTATACGCTGAACTAAGGCTAGGTTTCTCATAAGAACTTCGCTTTCGAAATGTTTTGCTATTTATATTTAGATTTAGATTATTATAATTATTATTACTATTACTTTTATTACTACTATTATTTATATTTAGCATATTTTTGTTTTTGGAAGATTTTGTTGTTTTGAAATTATCATAGTGCGTTGGTTCGGTGATTTCCAAATAGTCATAGGTACAACTGGAAATTTCGAAAATAAAGCATTTTAGATATATAAACATATTCTTAAGGGCATATATTATACAGAGGGTGTTTTTTTAAACAAGAGAAATAATGAAATGCTTATTATTTAACAATATGAACAAATGTTTAGCTTTATTATAAAGAGGCCGCCGCGTTTAGCTCGGAAAAATTCCAGCTGAGATCCAAACCTTCGATCACTTTTTGCTGCAATCGGGACCGTATGGCAATCGTAACGATCATAACTGTAAAGACAAGCGACTACATATATGTTTATATGCTTATAATTGGTGCTTTAGTACAGTTGCTAGCATACGCCGATGATATTGACATTATTGGCCTTAACAACCGCGCCGTGAGTTCTTTCTCCAGACTGGATAAGGAAGCGAAACGAATGGGTCTGGAATTCATTGCATTCGTGACTATCTAGGGTTTAGCATTCATATCCAACACTGAATCATTTATTCCAACAGGTGCTACTTTGGACTGAGTAGGCAATTGAGAAGTAAGGTCCTTTCTCGGTTAGCGAAAATCAAACTCTACAAGTTGCTCATTATACCCGTCTTGCTATAAGGCGCAGACAACATCTGATGAGTCGGCTCTAACAGTCTTCGAGAGAAAAGTTTTGTAAACGATTTATTGTCCTCTACGCATTGGCAATGGGGAATATCGCATTCGATAGAACGATGAGCTGTACGAGCTATACGATGATATTGACATAGTTCAGCGAATGAAGAGACAGCGGCTACGCTGGCTGGGCAATGTTGTCCGAATGTATGAAAGCACACCAGCTTTGAAAGTATTCGATACAGTACCCGCTGGTGAAAGCAGAGGAAGAGGAAGACCTCCACTCCTTTAGAAGGATCAGGTGGAGAGGGACCTGGTTATACTTAGTATATCCAACTGGCGTCGGACAGCTAAAAGAAGAGAGGAATGGCGCGCTAATATTGATTCACCCATAATCGCGTAAGCGGTGCCAAAGCCAATGAAGAAGGAGAAGAAGAGAAGTAGTGCTGTTTTGTAATTGCTGAAGAGATTCTTGACTTAGCTTTTCCTGAATATTTGTGATATGTGTCTTGATGTTTTACCAACCAATGGAAATAATTTCGAACTGCTCCGAACGATTGATGGATTATTAAGAGGAGCTTTTGATTTATTTCAAGTCAGAAATACAATCGGAGGGCTTGACGCACCCTACCGTAGGGTTAAATCAATTTGAAAATTTGATTTTGGAATTTGCTTAACCGCACGATCTTAGAGAATTTTAACCAGTTCATGACAAGAGATGAGGCACTTTTTAAAAGTTTCTTTCAATAATTTGATAATTTCGTTAGCCGTATGGAATGTAGTGCCATCTCGTTGGAGCCAAAGATCGCCTGTAACAACCTCCTCCACTTCAGGCACGATGAACTAATTCACCATGGCTCTATAGCCTTCGCCATTGACTATAACTCTCTGGCTGGCTTCATTTTTGAATAAATATTTACAAACAATTTTCTCTTTCCATTAAGTATACCAAATAGTGACTTTTTGAGGGCCTAACGGCGTCTCAATAATGGCTTGTGGATAATTTCAAATACGACAATTTTATTTAGTAACGTCCCCATTCAATCATATATATGCTACATACCGGTTTGTGGGCCTTTTTGCATTGAAAATCGCTCGTAAAAAACACCCTTTGCATACGATAAATTTTTGTAATACTCACCCTGCTTCATTCTCGATCACAAGCTCCTCAAACTCTATCACTACCCGATAACCCGATGGTGCTGTTATTGTTGTAAAACAATTCGCATTGTCCGGATACTGTCGTGGAAAGGATGGACTCCAAATGGAGGCGCGTGGATGCTCTTTGGTTAGCGAGACAGTCTTATTGCAATCGTTTATCCAACTGCGTCTCAATGAGTCTGGAGGATAAATTTATTGTAATGTGTTTAAGCGCAAAATTAAAAAAAATTAAAATTCCGAAATAATAAAATTCAACGATGCAAATTTAAATGTGCTTTGCCGCATCCTGATAGTTAAATAAATTCCCTAGATTTGCTAGTGGCGCTGCTTTCCTCTTTCAAAACTTACCATCACTCATGGCTCGTTCGCAAATAAGAAAGTTCTTTGCACTACAGTCCCGATCATTCCACATGAAAGTACTCGTCAACGGACTACGATTCGTTTGTATGGCCGGCGGTGTGCGAAAAAACCGACGTAACTCGATGCAATCTTGACTACTCAAGCCGTCATCGTTGGGCTGCTTGTTATAGTGACTGTGTTCCGACCAACCAGGAAACCAATCTGCAAAAGAGAAAGACCTTTAGTGCATAGTAAATATAAAAAAATAGATAAACTCACTTGTGTACTGAAACAGCAGCCCGTCGCTCCAACGAAAGTCTCCCTCATAGCTGCTATCCGAGCCGCCGACCCAATAGGCGTTTTGATCGTCATAGCCTGGACTGCGGAAGAGAAGTTCGTGTATGGTTTCCTGTTGTTGCTCATTGCGAATGGAAGCCAAGTGACCGCCCAAGTTGGCGCAGTGTTCCTCGGCATCGGGCCAAGACATTGCAACTTCAATGGTATTCACACAAAATTGTTGCATGGCGACCCAACCGAAATCGCAACTGGAAACAAGTTCGGGTATCGGTTGTGCCGTATATGATAGATAGATTGTGGGCAGTATGGCTGTGGGCGAGAGTGTGTTGTAATTAACACCATAGTTTATATCTTCTCTAAGTGGCATTTTGTTGTTGTAATTTAAACGCGCTGCTTTGAAGAGATGCACATTCAGCGTATTGCCAGTTGAGGTAAGAATGAAGGCCTGCATGCGCTGTGTGTCGTTTAGGCAATAAGACCAACGCGTGAAATCATTTTCGTATATCTTGACGATAACGCCATCACAGTTAGAAATCTCACTCGCCACTGGCATTGATTTTCCGCCCGAAGCCAAATTGAACCCCTTTATTTGACTCTCCATTAGCCGTAGGAAACCGTCTAATGAACTTGTGGAACGCTTGTTGACATGCTCCCGCGTTGCATTGTACGAGCTCAGGGTGTGCGTGATGTCCCCTTGTGTACGCGCCGCCGTCTTGGGTTCGGCGCGTCTATGTATCGTTGTAACACCAGCGTAGTTCTTTCGATTACTCCCACTACCGCTACTCACCACCGTCATATTAACGCGCTTCGTCTCGATTTGCACACCCTGACTTGTGTAGATGCTGTAGATGTTTTGTTCGCTTGCCGGATTCAGTTGCATGCTATCATCCGGCGGCAGTACTGTGCTGTCGTTATTCGTAACCAGCGTCAGGCTTATGCGATTACCGTACGGCAGGTGAATACGAAAATAACACTCGAGCGCATCACGCATGCTCGGTCGCACATAATACTCACCCACTTGATTACTCGTTGTTATGTTGTAACAGTAGTCCACCAGCTTATAGCTGAGACTGAACATTGGACTCTTATGGAAATGGATTGTAGTGCGACTACGTACATCGAAATGATAACTACGATCGCTGGCGTTCAGCTCCTCCAGCTTGCCACACAGCCGCGGACGTTCGTTGAAACGTATGAAACCACCACTATTGCAGGGCACGTTTAAGCGTTGCAGCTCGACAAGTATGCCAGCCGGTGGGACGTCGAATTGCGTAGATGTACTGGGATCATTGGCAGAATCGGCGCCTTCGCCGTCAGTCTCAAAGAGTCGATACGGAGGGAAATGTACACTGCAATCTATGCTGTATAATGGAAGTAATGTGTAGTCTAAGGTGCCTCGGCTAACTTCACGCAGCAGCAATTGGCAGTCTGTAGGAGAAAAACAATAGTTAAAGGTTTGTTGAATCCTTAGTGAAGAGTACTAGGAACGAAGCTGGGGGGCTGCTGAGGTCGGAGATAAATTCCTTGACTGGATTTTAGAACCTCTGTGTGGCGTGTTTTACATGACCAGTCTCAAACACAGAGCAGCACCTCACTCAGATGAACAGACGCAATTAGGCTCTGACGAAGTGGCTCCGCCTCCGAACGGCCGTTGAAAATGCTCTCGGAGAACTTGATATTTCCTGCCCGGGAGGATCGGAATTACAAAAATTGATTTCCTATAATTTTGTATGGTTCGTCATTAAAGAAGAAGAAGAACCCCGTTTTGGTAAACAGGTAAATTTAGTCTTTCTATTACGCTTTTCGTTATTGCTTAGGAAAATTTCGTAAAGTTTTGCTTTATATTCAGGACCACCCGAAAATTCCACTGCTGCTTCGTCTAAGACCTCGTCTCTAGCTCATACTATGAGCGTTAGGGCAGGCTATTGCTTAAAAATTCGGGGGAAATAATAAGTGAGAAGCACTAGGAGAACAACCGATATTCTGTACCTGCATAGTGAGCCTTAGTGGCGCGCAAATATTCTCTCAGACAATTTTCGTCTTGAAAGCTCTCAGAGAAACTGAAGAGGAGAAGAAGCCTTCTATGCATTAAAAGGCCAAACTATTGAAGGAGTAGAATTACTATATTTTTCAGGAATCTTTACTCGAATAAATCTTCACTTTACTTTAAATGTCCTTCTCACAATTTTAATGGAAAAAATGGAACAAAAGCTTTTCACTCATTTTGCGCACACTAGGGCACGCTCATAAATTTCCAGCAATTAAAAGACTTAAGAACAATTTGTTAAGTTTTCCACTTGGACTTAATAATAGTTTTGTTAAAATTTCTTCATTTTTCATTCAATTTTTTTGTAATTTTTTTTGCACGCTTTTTTTCTCTTGTACACTCACCTTTACGTAGTTGAAATTTGAAAGTTTTTTTGAACACCACATGTTGTGCGTTGACTTTGACATAGTTGCTGTTGTTGTCAGTGTTGTTGTTATAGCTACTGTTGGCATTCTCCATATTGTTGTTGTTGCTGCTGCCTTTAGTGTCACCAACACTATCACTCTCGAAAGTCGCACGAAAAAACACTCTGAAAAAAATGGCAAAAAAATTAAGAAGAAAATTAAACGGAAGAGCATAGCGAAAGAAATGAGAATAAATAGTACTGGAGAAGAATGAAAACTTTTTCAGTTTTGCCGTCGTTCAAGTCGAAGTTTTTCACCATAACTTTTAGTATCTATTCTTTGAAATTCAATGCTTTACCACAGCTAAAAAGTTTGTATTTTAAGAAAGCAACAGAAACGAAGCGCCATGGATGAGAGAACGTCCTTTTGATGACGACACCTAAAAACGTATTTGAGGGCACGCACTTTGGGAGGAGGGACGGACTCTTTTCCGCGAGTCTTGGCATTCACCTCTTAGGATGAACGTTTTACCACAGTTCGCGTCGAATTGGAATTCTCCAGCTTAATATTCATAGAACACAGCTGGGAGAGCTGCTTTCGCTATGATGTCGAAATTGTGCTTGTCCAGGGAGGGCAGAGAAAGTATCTTCAGCCCAACAGTCGGCAAATTCAGCCTCGAATGGATTGAGACTGTTCGCCTTTCGTCGGCCACTAGAAAATTCATCAAGAGACTTGGCTGTCTCCAGATAGAAAATCTCACAACCAGTTTGAGCAAGGAAATAGAAAAGATCCCCTCACAAAGTTCTGTCAGTCGTTCGGAGGCGGTTTAGTGGAAAATGTAGGTCCCTCGATAAATACAATATTTAGTACGAATTTTTTTCATTTAAATACGACGACTCGAGCTTCAGCGGGTACCAAGCGGAGGGAGATATAGATGTGCCCGACTTTGCTTGAGAGATCAAACTAAGTAGACCGACATTGGCGCACAGTGTGAGAGTGTTTGCAATACTCCAACTTATTTCTGAGAATGGATGATGAAATTTTGTTCACAAGATCAGGAATCGCAGGTAGAGAACAGAGCTAATTGGCATAGATCGATTAATTATCAGTTCAGTTCAATAAATGCTTTGGTTAAGCGGTGGATATAGTGTTCCGAGAGCAGTTTTAAATTTTAGAATACCTTCCCACCTTGTGTATTTAGGCACTTTTATATTGGATTGGATTTCAAGTGCAAACTAAAGTTGAAATTTTTTGAAGAAAGCGCTTTTATTAATCAAATATGTATTCGCCATCATGTTCGGCAATCCACTCCCAGCGTTCAACCAATTTACGAATGCCTGATTCATAGAAATCGCGCGGTTTCTCGTTGGAAAAGGTGTCAAGGTGGTTTTTGACGTCTTCCATATTTTTAAATTTTTTTCCATTCAAATTGTTCTGCAGCGATCGAAACAAATGATAATCAGAAGGTGCAATGTCGGATGAATATGGGGGATACGGCATGATTTCCCAATTCATTTCCTTCAGTTTGGCCAGGGTCGGTTTTGCAACATGTGGCCTGGCGTTGTCATGATGGAAAAGAACTCCTTTGCGATTGGCCAAAAATCGGACGTTTTTCATCAATTGCTTTCTTCAATTCGACCAATTACTGATAATACTTGTTGGCAGTGATCGTTTCTCCAGCTGGTAAGAGCTCAAAATAGATCACGCCTCGGATATCCCACCAAATGCACAGCAGTACCTTCATCGGATGCAATCCACCTTTCGACATCGGTTTCCGCCCCTTCGTGTGCCTGTTTCTATATTCTTTTGCGTTGAACATTGTTGTACAGGATCCATTTTTCATCACCAGTCACGAGCCGATCCAAAAAAGGTACGTTTTCAACCTCTTCGTCAACCTCTTCCGTCGAAATACGAGAGTTATTCGCAACTAAAGTCCTTAGAACATCGTCATCAAGCTCAGAAGGCCGTCCACTGCGAGGTTGATGTTCGAGGTTAAAATCTCCAGAACGAAATTTCGCGAACCATTTCTTTACTGTGCGGAGTGCTGGAGTACGGTCCAAATAAACTTCGTGAATATCTTTAGTTGCTGCGCCTACTGTTTTTCCTTTGCGGAATTCGTATAACATAATATGACGCATATGATCTTTTTCGTTGTCCATCTTCCATGCGTCTTTTCACTAAGCATCTCAAATCAAAATGAAGTTATTTTATGGTTGATTTACAGTTCGGACTGTCGCCTTTCCAACGATATATAATATGTATATATTTCTTTCACGAGCGCAACTCTCAAACGATTCGAACGGCATCCAGCGGAATCGGGCACGAACTTATGCACTCATCCAATACATGGAGATTTTCTAAGCCCAGCTTTTTATAAGCTCTCAGCCATTCAATGTTGGTTTCCATCAAATTTCTCCTTTTTGGTTTTGTCTTTGTATTTGTAATCAAAGCACAAGATGATTTTCGTGAAGATTTCCACAAAATCTCATTACAATTAATCTCCCAATTGCATGCTATCGCCTTCAGTCTGAAGAGCCAGCCTCCATTGGAGCAAATTTCTGCGAAAATTGAACATTCAAAAGTCATGAATGACAACAGAGCGCAGAACATAAGGTTTACATACACACAAATGTGCATACAGACTAAGTAAATTCATATTCTCAGTTAATTGTGTATAAATAACAGTTAATATGAGTAGTAGGTGGTGGGTGGTGGGTGGTGTGTGGTGTGTGGCCGGTGGTCGGTGGCAATTGTGGGGCTGGTGTTGTTCATTTTGAGTATCTGAGTAGCTGAAGCCAACTCTCGAATAATACGCACTTCATCAACAGATCTTCTCGTAATTGCACGCGTTTCACTAACGAATGATGATTTAATCAAATGGACCAAGCAATGCCATGGAAGCCGGCCGTTTGGATTGAATGGCTTCCACTACAAAGTAAATGCAAATAAATTAAATTACTGATACCACTTTGCTCATACCTGCACCTATATATATATATGTGTATATATGTATATACAATATGAATATGCTCGTATATGTAGACGTGGCTAACCACAATTATGACCTGGCAATTATCTGCTTATTACATACAATTACCTATACTTACATAAATATACATACCACACACATCCACAGACACACGTGCATACACAGATATAAACATGTATATATATATTTACTAAATTCTCTTTACAGTCTTATGAAGCTGAGTATACTCCGTGGCCACTTTCAGCACAGACGCACAGACGAAATAATTATGATACACTTATCGAGGAGGAGCAGGAGGAGGAGGAGAAGTAGAAGAAGAAGAAGAAGAGAGGCTACATCGTGCTGAAAATTGTACCCGGTAGTAAAAACGCTGAACTAAGCGGTGGAGGATGCTTTGCTCCGCTTACGCGATTATAGCCGAGTTAACAACAGAGCGCCTATCCTTCGTTCTATACGCTGTTGGGTGGCAATTTTTGTTGTTGTAGTGGTTCGCTAACCCCGTTAGGAGGAAGTAAGATCAGTCTAAATTATGGAGATCATCTAACGGGAGGACCAGAGGAGGACGAATTCGACGGGTTCGGACCAAAGGATCTACGCACCGTAGTTTAGATCCGGACTCTATCCGTCCAAAGGCAGTCACAATTTCGACTACTTGACCACTTTATGTCAACCGGTAACATAAGGTAGCTAGGTCCGTCTCCGGATGATCTTTCCAAACAGAGTGGTGATTTTTCTCTACCTCTGCTTCTACCGGCGTGTACCGCATCAAAAATTTTCAAAGCCTCGGCTTAAAAAACTATATGTATATATATTTATGTCAATGCCGCCAGATCGCTCGTGCTGCTCATCATTCCATCGAATCTGGTACTCGCAAAACCTTTCTTTTTATACCTCCCAACGCCGACTCATTAGACATTGTAAGGGAAAGGGCGTTGAATGAGTTAGTTTTTAGAGGGCGGTACATACGTGGGGTATGTCGGGGTCAAGTCTAGATGGATAGGAGTTAAGTTGATTACAATGTGCAGTTCTTAATTGTTTCGGTTTTAACTGCATCTCCCGAGGTAGCTAAAGTTCTTGTATTCCAATTGATGATGCTTGAATTTTGGAAAGACCATTTACAGAAAGACATTTCAATTCCAACGATTCTTGTCGGCTGACGACTTGAGGATTTTGTTCTGGTTCTATCTTTAGTAACAATTGCAGTTTTATGCGGACCTCAGACTATCAAATGTGACTCCCACTTTGACATCAAGTGCCAGCCGGTACTCTTTCGAATAGCGGGAGGATTTGACTGGTTGTAATGGGATAGCAGTTTAGTTTCCTACGTAGATTATCGATATACTGGCCAGAGCCCAAAATCGAACAATCAAAGAAACATCTTCTGTCTGAAGCAGTGGATCACGGAGGAACATTTAAGCTCCTGAAATACCCTGTGGGACAGTGTGGACTACAGACAGATCAAAGTGTTATTAACAATAGCTATAGCTTAGTATTCTCAGGCAGGCTAGTCTGTGCGCAGAACATGCACACATTCATTCACAATGCCCCCAGCTCCAATCTTACGGTGGTGACACACGCTGATAGAAGAAATTAAATCAGTTCAGCGAGTGTGCAAAATGAGCCTATTCAATGGGTAAGGTGTGCACACTTGGTCACAGGTCCGCGACCTCCCCTTTCAGCTAACCAACAAACAGAAGCAGATTCCTTAATAAGAAAATTTTTAAATCTTATTCCGAAAACTTAAGCCTATCGCACAATTTAGACTTTCAATCAATCAGAATTGGAAACAATAGTGCATTTCTCCTCTTCCTCCTTCTTCGTTTCGAAACACGTTTGTGAGTAATACCCCAAGCGACACGCCTTAATGTTTCTTCATCCTAAATTCGTAAGGGAATTTAGCCAAGGGCTTACCTGAATTCGATGGTGTCATCCTGTTCGCATAGTTCATTTAACATCCAGAAGCCCAAAGACTCGGTGTGTACTTCATTTCCGTTTACGTTTTCCTTTTCGTTTCCATTACCACTCCTACTCCCCACGCGACGAGCGCCGTTAGGAGATTGTTTTTCATTATCACCAAAGCTACTCGAAGCACGCTGTTCCTTTTGATCTGATTGTTGTTGTTGCTGTTTATCTTGATGTTGTTGACTCTTTGCACTGCCATGCCATTTATTTTCTGGGCACATTTTCCTGCCACCTTGTCGACTGCTATTACTCTGTTGTGTCGTCTGTCGATTAGTTGCTTTATCCCAACTTTGCTGCAACCATTTCGTAGCGAACATTTGTTGGTGTTGTTGTTGTTGCTGTTGCTGCTGCTGAAAATGACCATGCACATCATAATCATGGCCGAAAGCGAAATTATCCTCATCCGACATCGATGTCGCCGAATCGAAATCGTTTTTTTCCGCTTCCAAATCCACATCACCATCATCGTCATCATCATCATCAGCGGCGTTTGCGGCAACGTCATCACCGTTATGACTGGCGCCGTTGCGCTGAAGTGAACTGAACCATGAAATTGGCAACTTGTTGCCTGCTGCCGCTGTGGCTGTTGCTGTTGCTGCTGCTGAATGGTGATCAACAAAACTGCCACGTTCGCGACCGCTGGATGTCGAAAGTGTTTCCACGAAAAAATCCCCCGTGTAGTGAAGCTGCTGATTGTTGTCGTTCGTACTGCTGCTCTCGCCTGTGCCTGTGTGCTGGCCGTTGCCATTGCCTACACCACCAGTATGGCTGTTGTCCCTGTTGTCTTCCTGACCACTATTCTCTTTCGCCTTTGCTTTTGTGCTCGTGTTCGCCACGGTGGTCGCTTCTACAAAGGCGTCGTCGCCAAATGACTCTGTTTGTGCGGCAGCATGGGCTCTTGTCGCTCGGCTAGTTGGGCCTGCTGCTGCTGTTGCTTTGGGCGTTGATGTCGACTTGGCGTATGTCATCAGACGCACTGCAAGTATAGGAGATGAATGGGGAGAGATTAATTTCGTGTTTACTTTTATTTGCCATTTGCCAGTGAAATTAAATTATAATATTTGCTGAAATGCAATGAAATTGTGTAGGAAATTATGAACCGTAAAAATGGTATAAAAGTTTCAATTTGAATTTAGCCAACTAATTGTGAACAGGCCTGGCACTTGAGTTAATGAGTTGGGCCCATTAAATGCGTTTTTTTGTGGGTTGTAGAGTAGATAAGGGCTTGGGGCGGGGAAAGATGGTGAATAGGAAAATAATTACTCTCTAGACTAGATCAGCATTGTCGGGACCAAAAAAAATTGCCTCTAAAAATCTATCAGCCAGAGGCGGCTTGGATTAGACTGTAAGTCACTTCATTTGTCGACGCGCATTCGAAGAGGAGAAATAAGACGAATTTATATATAATATATAGGGGCTACATAGCCCTCTGAAGCGATTTTCGCTTGCGCTGCTCCTTCAATTTGTGGTATGCGTGTCGTTGATTTTTCCAACAAATGGAGCCACTTACAGTTTATACCAAGCCGCCTTCGAATGGCAATACGCTGTGCTGGCAACTCGGCTATCGGAATCGCATTTACTGACAGCTAAAGAGAGAAACTGAAAAATATTTGAGTATGAAGAACAGGTGGAGATGGCGGATATGCTCGAAATTGCAATGAAAAAATGAGGCGACTTTCAGACGGCTTTTGCTAATCAACCCCAAAAGCTCTGTCAGAATTTGTAAGGGTCTCGCCGAGCCACTCGTTACCAAATGAGCTTTCAGTTTAAGTGTCAGCATCGTGTCAGTTCTTCAATACAGTTTTGGAGAAACATATGAAATACCCCAATCAGTATCTACTACTTTAGACTTAGTGCGCAATTCAAAAGTAAAGTTATCCTTCGACAAAAATGTATCTAACTCTTAGAGGTAGCTCACGATTACTGTTCTACTTTACGAATCAGAAGAGTGAACGATAACAAAATCCCATGAGTCGGCTGGGAAAGTTTTTGAGAGAAAGCTTTTGTGGAGGAGAAGATATATAACTTGGGCGATAGCGAATATCGCAGACCATGGAACGAAGGGCTGTACGAAATATACGCCCGTTTGAATGAAATCACTCCAACCTTGAATATTTTCGACGCTGTAGTATTTCCTGATGGAAAGATCACCACTCTACTTTAAATATCATGTGGAGAAAGACCTGACAAAGTTCCCAGTAGTGACGAACGGCGAAGAGAAGAAACGGGAGGAGCGCTGTTGTTGACTCGAATATAATCGCGGACGACAGAGAAGAAAATAAGAAAAAGTTTGTATGAAAGCTCTTTACTTTTAACTTTATTTATGCTTAAAACACTGGAGCGTCTGGTAGATGTTCGTATCAAGCAAACGAGAGTCTACTTTTGCACAGCACGTCTACACAAAAGGTAAATATCTGGACACATCTATATATATATTTTTTTTAAATATTCCTTAATGAGTGGGTTCGAGTCCAGAGCAGTCAAATCTGCCCTTAGGGTTAATGTTAAGTTGCAGGAAGATCTAAGCATAATGGGGTTTAGATGTGTTAACGTGGGATGGGCATAGAGAAACCAACCATATATTACTGTAAAGACGGAAAGGTGAGCTGGCAATTTTACAACCTATGCGGACCATATCTCAGCGGTAAGGCTTCTTGGATTTCTGGTGAACACGGCACTCTAAAACATCAACAACTGGGATATTTCAACAGGAATTAAGGTTAATACCGACGTAAAAGATCTGGTTCTATTCACAAGGAAGTACAAAATTTCAGCTGGGATGAAACCAAAGTTCGGGAACACAAACAACACAGCTGAAACTTAGGACTAGGCACATTAGCAGAGCGTAGCATTGACTACTATACTCTTTACTAGAGGCGAATGGCTGGAGCAGAGGTCCGCAGTTTGCAGACAAAGCTCTGAATCTTATTACCAATGATTCTTAAGTGAACGTGGGAATGAGAGCATCACTACTTTGTAATTTAAACCACCAAAGAGAAATTTTTAGACTTGTCTAATAAATGAAAATATCAAAGCATGCCAGGAAATAAAAATAAAAATTCCAGTACAGGGTTAAGTTAGGTTTAGGTTCGGTTAGTTGCCCCGTTGAATGTCCCTTACCCAGAGGAAGTTTTCAATAGCAACAAATCGGATGCCGAAATCAACGTTGGTCCAGGGTTAATACCACATTCATAAATCTCCTAACTGAACTATGACCGGAAGACTGATAGGATATCCGCCTCAAGGTGGCATCCCCTTTCCCATGCTCTGGCATTAAATAAAATAGAATTAATTCTTTTCACACTAAAAGATATAAAGTGCCGACAATAAGCCCGACAACTTTAAATCAGGTTGACCTAAGCCTATGAATCAAAGCCAAATATCTCAGAATAGGTCTAAAAAAGAAACTGGACCGGAAATCCGTCATAGTAAGCCGATATAAAAATGCCTTCTTCAATAAGTGGGATACTCAATAATCATAGAAAGACACTTTTTCATCCTAAACAGAAGATACCGCTGGTACTCAACCCTTTTCGCTGACAACAAGTCAAACTAAAATCTCTAAAGGGGAAGAACTTGTCGATTATAGTCGAGTAAATAACATTCTTCTTTGGCTGCAATTGGAAATACTATGTGCAGTATTGGTCCTCCTCCTCTTTCCAATGAAGTGTACGACTTTAACTTCCTCTACTTGCACCAGCAGGTACATCGAAAACTTTCAAAGCCGGAGTGTTCTTATTCATCCGGATCAGCGTAGCCGCTGTCTCTAGATTCGCCAAACTATGTCGGTCGAAATTACCAATGAACTCGAAGGTATGACTGTCAACAGTGGGACCCGAGTTGCGCATACGATGACTGTTTGCTTGAAGACAAGCACAAATTTCATTATGTCCTCGCAGATTTCACGGCGTACACCAGCAACAATACGCTCTTCTCCAGCAATAGACAAAAGAAGTCAAACAATAAGGCATCACTTTGTTTGGAGCTCTCAATGGGTTCTTACCGATCCTTACGGAGATTTTTGTGTAGCTTAGGGTCAGTTTACGCAGCCGAATTTTGTGGGGATGTATATTGACGGCATCTTTAAAATGGATGAAATAGGATTTAAATCGCTGCGTTTTCTATGGGTCTTTCCAAGCTTTGGTGCATGGTGAATATTTGGTCAATGATTGATTTATCAGGCCTAAGGCCACACTGATAAGGTCCAATCAGTTTTTCGTCGGTGGGCTTCAGACTTTCACACAATGCATTTGAGAGAACTTTATATGTAGCATTGAGGAGGCTTTTTGTGTATTGTTACGAGCACATTTAGGTTCAAACCGTCAGGCATGCCTATGCCTTCATCCCATGGTATTTGCGAATACATGTACCCTATCAGTTCTTCACTGTCTTATTTGAGTAGCTCGGCTGGCATTCTATCGGACCCTATGACTTTGTTGCTTTTGAGGCGTGCAATTGCTTTATGAACTCCTTCATAGTCGGGCAATTAAACATCTATTCCTTCTTCACAGATTACGAAATAGGTCTCGAGATCTTCAGGAGTTGGGTTATCCCTGTCATTCAACAGGCAGGAAAGTATTTACTCTATAGGTTCAGTATTCTCTTGGGATCAGTCTCAAAAATACTTCTCTGGGTTCTACAAGAATATACTCCGATTTGGGAGCCTACTACAATATAAGCCGTCACCTATTTTCATAGAATTTTCGAGCATTACCAATGACGGATTTCTTTTGAGGCTTTTCATACTCGGGTGTGCTTTAAAGCTCACAAAAAAAATTATTTCATTAAATCGATTTTTTTTTTAAATTTAATGTAAATTTCAAACATTTATGCAATCTTCATTACAAGAGAAACATTGTGAAAATAAAGGCAGCGTTAAGTGCAAATACTTTGAAAACTAATTGCGGGTTGAAATATTTATTACCCAATTACAATTTGTTGAGCTGCACATTATCCCCTTTTATCCGCTTAACGTTTGATTAAGCAAGGCGTTCAAAATTCCGCGCACGTAAAATGCTTGAAAAATTCAGCAACAGTAAAAACAGCAGACTTGAACGATAAAAAATTTAATATGAATGGAAAAAAAACAAAAATTTGAATGATAAATTTATAGATTTTCACCTTTCTCTCATATTCAAGTTGAATAAAAATCATTTGGCTTGCACGTACATAGAATATTTACATATATATATATATATATATATATATATATATATATATATATATATATATATATATATTGTATATATAATGAAAACATCTGCAAATGACGGGCAACCTGGACTGCACAAAGCGTGAGAGCGTTGAAACTTTTTTCTTCTGCCCGGCGTGACGAGTAATTTTATTCAAAAGACTCGACCGTTAAATAAAACTTTTTGCATTTGAAAGAGATTAAAGCAAGTTCAGACGTGACGAAAACGAATGGCGAAATGTGTAAAATAAATATGTATGTGCCTGTGCATATACTTCTGCTAGTGGTTGAGGAGTATTTGCGCCTGGTGAGTTAGACAGCCAAATGGTTTTATATTGCCCTCTAAGAGCACTCACCGGCAATTTAGTGCAAGGAAAGATGACATGGAAGAGATGGCATCTCAGGCTCCCTACCCATAGTCATCAACAAAACTAATGATTTTTGACAAGGCTATTCATCTCGCAATATGTGCTGTGTGAGAGAAATCCCAAGAGTTTAAAAGTGCGTCTCCTACTTTGCACACAGAAAAAGAGAGAAATCGAACTAAGTTGATATGAAAAGCATGAGATGTTGGCCGTTAAGAGGAGTGCTCGTAAATTCTATAAAAATGCGACAGCTTGCAGTAGGTTTCAAGACCGGAGCGTATAGGACCCAAAGTGTTGATCGGACGTTTAATGTTTAGAGTATATTGAGCTTATGGAGGATACAGCCTACTGAAAGCACGCGGAGATGGATCGATTGAATTTCCAATCAATGCTAAAAAAGCAAACGTTTCATAAGTCGAC